CTGAAGCCTTCTGTTAGAAGATAAAATGAAAAAAAATTCAGTACATTAAAGTTTTAGAGTGCTGAGACGAGCCTCATCCAGTGGGACTGTTGTTCTCAGGTTTGGGACCCACAAAAGAATACATGAACTGGATGAGTAAAGTGACGCTATCACATATGTGATCATACCTAGCACTAAACCCAACCCAGGCCAATCAAGCCTGCCATCGCTTTGCTTAACTTTCTTTTTTGGTTGATTGGTGCATCTATAAAGATAAAAAAATCTGCATTGATTGACGTGGGCTTGGATCACCGCCAAATGTCACTGCAATCCTACACTGAAGTAGGATGCGTGGCGCACTCCAGAAGGTATCGGCCAACACCGAATGCTTTGTTTCTATAAGAAACATGTTGTCGCAGTGTATCGGGCTAATTTTCACGTTTTTTTTTCTCACGTGGCCCAAGCTTCGAATATAGACGTGTGGGCGTCGTGACAGCAGCCCTCGCGGAAAGAAAAAAATGCCATAAAAGCGTGAGCACATAAGGGCTGAGTGAGGTTGTCCCAGCGAAGTTTACTAAGAAAAGCAGACCACAGACCTGTCCATAGATGCGTCTTGCTTCACCAGCATACCAATCGAAAAATCCAGCAGAGTACCCTATTTCTCCTCGAGCCTCAGCGAGTGGTTTACCCTTGAAAGGCATTCTTTCAACACGGTGTGAGGAGTAAAAAGGAAAATATCTTAGATTTCGCTCCTTTTCTATTTGAAAGCACATTACAGTATGTGGACTGTGCAATTCAAAAAATGAAACTGTAAGTTATCACAAGAATGCTGAGTTGTGGGCAAAAGTCGTGCCCCAGGCGGGAGTCGAACCCGCACCTCACGCTTTCCGGGCGAGTGCGCTATCCGTTACGGCGTAACGGATAGAGGACCCGCCTGGGGCACGACTTTTGCCCACAACTCAGCATTCTTGTGATAACATTCGGAACGCGTACTGCGGCGTTAAACAGCAGTTATCATAACAAAAAGAAACTGTAAGTGCTAAGCGGTCCTGCAGTGAACAAAGAAGACGAAATGGCTGTCCTAACTGAGGTCTGCGAAATAGAGGCACAGCGTTTTGCAGAAGTAGGCCTCAAAATCGCCACGTCTGTTCTCGTCAATTGATTGCCTCAACTGTTCCTCCTAACCAAAGATGGCATGTATTTTTTGAGTCACACTCACCTGTTCAAGAGTCAAAAGTTGAGCAAGCTCCTTTTCTTTCTCCACAAATATGTCAAACCATTTTCTCAGAATCGCGCCACGCTGCTTAGGAGTGGTTTCCATGGACCATTTTTTGAAAGCTTCCTTGGCAGCAGAAACAGCCTATAAAAAGTCCTAACCAGATAAAGATCGCGCAAAGTTATATAGTAAAAACAAATATAATTGGACATCATACTGAGTGAAGTAGTAAATACGTATAGACCGGGGAAATCGTTGAGCGCTCAGGCGAACCCTGACGCACTTGGGCCCAACGCAAAAACAGCTAGATACGTTTCCTTCCGCTGACCTCACCAAGAGAAGAATCGGAGAGTGGTCGAAGCGCCTGCTTCGCGCCTGCTCGATTCGACGGCTCTCCGGGTCGAAGAGTGCGTCCATAATTTGTGTCAGCGTTTCGAGCCCACTTCAGCGTATGCCCAAGTACAGGAGTACAGGAGCGTAACGACTGG